GAACCGGTCTGTATGTGGGATCCGAACCCTCCGCGGGAGCGCCACCGCACTTCCCAAGCGGTGCACTACAGCAGTGCGCCACCGGGCCGGCCCTGTTTCTTTTTTTTAATGTAAAATTAATTCAAGTAAAGGGGATGTCAAAAGATAAAACCACAACAAGGTTAGTTTAAAGATCTAATTGGCTTTTATTTGCAATTCTAGAAGCAGGCAGAATGTCCTTCTATAAAACTGAATGTATGCTCTGCTGGGCATGACAGAACAGTTGGTTCTTGTGAGGTGGGAACAAGGAGGCAAAACATCAGAAAAAAGCAGATTGGTTAAAATCAGGTTACTTCAGGTTATTTCTTTTATAAGGGTTGAAGCAGACAGGACTTGTTGGGAGTGCTCATTAAGTGCCTTGTGCTAATTTAAGACAGAGGAACTTTGGTCAAGGGAACTTATATCATGAACTTGACAGTCTTGAACAGGACATGCTCACACGATGTGAACACCCTAGGCCTTAACTGATGACACCCTTTTGAGATATTACCATCTAGATGGAGGAGCTCCAGATGGTCATCCACATGACCTCACCTTATCAACCTTGCCAGACAGCCAAGCAGGGTATAACTGGACTACATGACAGACCATCTTCGCTGTATCTGTCAGTTGTGACAGGTTGCTGGACAGTCACTCGGATCCTTGGTTCAGTGGACAGAAACAGACTGGAATTGACACTTCTTGGTGTGAACTACTCTCACACAGAGGTGGAAGCCAGTTTCGTTGAAGTCCATGGGACCTTTAGCCTGTGAGGGTAAGGATCCTTGAGTGCTGCCTCTGTTGCACTGAGGAGGGACCCAGGTGTACACTGTTCTCAAGCCATGTTCTCAAAGATCATCAATCGTGCTCCATCAGATTTATCCAGTTCCTGGTGGATATGAGTCAGAAAAGGACCTCATGCCGGAGACATAAGATCCTTGACCTGTTCCTAACAGGATAAAGAATAGGAGTTGTGTGCAGTGTGTCCATAAGGGGTCATTTAGTTTAAATTAGATGAAGGCTAGGACATAGAGTAATTGAAAGTGAAAGTGTGTTATGTGTGATATGTGTGATCAATAAATCGTGTGATTTGAGCATCAATATTTTGTCTCAAATGGTCCTTCCCTACCAATAAGGGTCTGCACATGACAGGACTTCCTCGTTTCCCCAACACAGGTTAACTGGGCCCTTTCCAGTTGGTTGCTGTGAATCTCCTGTTTTCAGAATAAATTGGTCAGTTTGGGGATCTACCTGCTTCTTTAAAGTTTCACTTTTGATTGTATGAAAAAATGAGTAGCTCCATTTTGGTTTGTTGTGGTCTGATGGGGCCTAGTTCAGGAGGTAAGTCCAAAACAGTGACCTTACATAAAATTTGTTTAACAGGGAAAAAAATATTTGTGGACTAAAGAAACCACATAGGCAAGCTTTATTCTACAGCAGACACAAATGTGGAAACCTTATACTAGATAAATACCTTTTAAACCATGTTTTTATTTTCCCCAGAAATGAATGTAAAAATATTAATCTCAAAAATTGTGAGATTAAATATGAACAATAACAAAGGAAAACAAATGTGATTTAGAAAGTTAACAGGCAACTGACAGATATTTAAAACAATATTCATATAGAAGGCTTAATGTTTTCTCTCCTTACATTGTAGAACTTCTGATGTTCCTACAGCAAATAGAAATTATCTTTCCCAAACTTAAGTCATCTTCCACTTTCCAGTATTTTCTATTTTATCACTATAGAGGAAACAAAATTGAATGACTAGTCAGATTTTCTTCCGATTGGTCAAGTTTACTAGTGAAGTAGCTCTCAAACTTTTATCACATATCAGAATCACTCCAGGGCTTGCTAAAACACAGATTACTGGAGTCCTCCCAGAATTTCTGATTCTGAAGGTTTAGGGTGACTCCAGAGAATTTGCATTTCCAGTAAATTCCTAGATGATGCTGACTAGAAGACCTCACTTTGAGAACCACTACACTTGAGGCTCCCAGGAAGATTGACTACAAGTGTGACAACCACAATTCGTATTTGAAAAAGTCAGCAACTACAAAAATAAAAAAGACACACTCGCACACCAAACAAACCTCTAGAACCAACAGATATTCCCGTTGAGTCTCCATAGATTTGCTTTACCTTGTTAAATGAAATTTATGGGAGTCCCTTATTTAGAACTAGGATCCTGCAATAGGTCTGACAGACCAGACCAAACTAGAATGGAGTCACTGGTAAGTGCCACAAAAGTAAAATAAATTGCACTATGAAATGGGCCAGTTTTAAAGAAACAAACAAAAACACTAGGAGATTCACAGCAACCAATCAGAAAGGGCCCAGTTAACCCTATAAGAGCCGGCCAGTTTGCTCACTCGGTAATCCTAAAAGAAAAGTAACTTTCCAACGACCACTCTTTTTGTTCCTTATTTCTGCGTTCTTCAGCCCTTTTCTGCCTATAAAGTCAACCTCCTCTTCTCAGCTCATGGGAGCTCTTATTCTACTTTATAGCCTAGGATACTACCCCGATTCTTGAAACGCCAATAAAAGCCAATTAAATCTTTAAATTTGTTGTCACCTTAAAAAAAAAACAACCTGTTCTGCCAAAAGGTTTCTATTTTATCTTCATCTCGTCACCATTTTAGTATCCAGGTAAACCGGTTCAGTCATTCGGTCATTCATTGAACGAATTTCGGTCATTCATTGCTATTACAAGTGTGGGCTCCGGATTGACAAATATTAGCACTTAGGAAAGATGTTTGAGCCTCCATCCCTTAGGGAAAATGCCTCCGACATTCGTCATCTATTTCGCTGAAGACAGAGCTTCATTTTTAGGAATGTTTGCATAAATACCGGACACCTGCTTCTCTGAGCTACAAACACCAGTGCCAGTTAAACAGCAACAAACAGACGCAACACCTGACCTTGCATCCCGGCCCCCTCAGCACCTGAGCCGGCTTGCCGCCCTCCTTTCAGAGCAGGGAGGGCGAGGGGGCGTGGCCGAGCGCGCGGCGCCCACGTGACGGAGGAGAGCTCCGCCGCACCGAGTCGCGCGATCTGTCGTCACATCAGCTTATGGCGCCGGGCCCTGATTGGCTGGCGGCGCCGGCCGCTCCACGCGTGGACTGGGGTTCCGCCCCTCCCGGCCCGGCCAGCTTATTGACTACCGACGCGCCCCAGCAGCCTGGCAAACGGCGGCGTCTGGAGCGGTGGCGGAACCTCGCCAATTAGGCTCGGCAGGTGGGCGAGGGGAGGGGGCGGAATACACCTGAGAGCGCCGGGCGCTGGGAGGAGGACAAGGGGATGCGGAGAAATTAGCAAGATGGAGCTCGGGTGGGGAAGCTTGAAGGGCGTACCTGGACCTTTCTCTTTGAAACGCCGCGGGCGTTTGCTGAGTGCCTCCGAGATGCCAGGCACTGGGCAGGTGTGGGTGGCGCACAGCGGTGAAACTGACGAGACTCCTGCACTGACACTAGGAGAGGCTGGCAGGTAGTCGGGCATCCTGCAGACGGGCTGCGAGGGCTGTGCTGGGGCGAGTGCGTGGCGCAGGGGACGCGCGCCGGCCTGGGCTGGCAGAGGGTTGCGGCCGAAGTGAGACCTCTGCCTGAGGGGCTCAGACCGCGAGAGGGTATTTCAGGGCTGAGGGAGGGGACTGGACGTGAAAGAAACAGACGCGAACGGGAGTGAAGAATATGCAGTGTTTGATGTTGGCAGTAAGGGCATCTGGCCGTTGAGCACTAATGCTCTAACTTTGCTACCGATTTCCCTTCGTTCTTGGAGGGATCTTTTCTAAAGCGGCAGAGAAACAGGCTGGAGAACTGGTCAGTGTCTGAACTGCTGACCATTGCAGTGCAAGCCTCAGTTACTGCAACGTAATTAGGATGGAGGGACGACAATCCATGGTTTGAGAGAACTAGAAGGGAACGAGAAATAATCTGTTTTATCACCGAAAAGGAAAAATCATGTGTACTAGCATCCCTATGTTATGTAAATTTGGAGGTGGTACAAGTGAAGAAATTATAGCCTCAGTAGATAGTTTTCAAACTAGAAAATTTGTGGCAGCCCGGTTCTTTTAGCTAAAACCTACTAGAAGGTTACCTGTCTTTATATTACCAACACTTTTTTCAAGTGTCTAATGGTAAATACCTGATAAATAATAAATGCAGGCCCTTGATCATTTACAGAGTGCTTTTCCATTCATTATGTAATGTAATTAGAATGGGGGTGGTGCTCAGAATTCGCGTATAACATCTTAAGAGGTTATAAGGTAGGAGCTAGGAAAACTATCTCTGAATGTACATCACAGCCGTTGCTTGACACTGTTACTCGTTACTAAACAAGTTATTTATATACTGCTGATCTCAGTTTCCCTATGTATAAAGTGGGGGTTATAGAAGTGCCTACCTCATAGAGTTGTGAGAATTAGAGGTTATACAAAAAATTGCTTCAGATAATGCCTGGTTCTCAATAAATGTTAACTATTACCTATAATTTTTAAAGTTAAGCAGAAAGGTAACAGTAGACTCATTCTAAGCCTAATAGTATTTTCTTGATAACTGTTTTAAGAAAAGGCTTCTTTGATTCTGCAAAGGTAAAATAATATTTAATATAAGCTTCTGTTTCAAGCAGTGGTACTTAACTTAGGGTCTGTGGAACCCCTGACTTAAGGGGGTATAATTCCTTAAAATTATATGCAAAATTATGTGGGCTTCTAGAGTCATTGAGAAATTTTTAAAATTAAGGCATTTAAGAATTGAGGTAGTGGCGAAGAGTCGGTAAAACCTGGTGAAAGTCCATGGACATTGCAAGCAAACTGCATGTGTTTGAACCTAGCCCAGAATTTGTTTATTAACGTAAATAGCTTGATCCTGGGCAAGTTACTTGAATTTTCTGTGCCCAGCTTCTTTACCTGTAAAATGAGAATAATACTAGTACCTAAATCTTGGGGTTTCTTGAAAGGGTTAGACCAGTTAATATATGTAAAAATGGTTACTGTACTTAGTACATAGTAAATAATATTAGCTCTTATCATTTATTTTTAAACAAAAACCAAATGGCACCCTTTTTTGCCTTACATTAAAGTAATTTTGACCCAGCTTTGTTTCCCATAACAGTAATAATATCTTCTATTTATTACCTCCCATGTGTCAGTTGGTGTAAAAAAACTACTTAGTCTCTAAACCTTTCAACAATTCTATAATGTAGATATGTCATCTCTGTTTTACAGATGTGGATTTGAATATACACTTACTTCAAAATTTTTGCAGCTTCGAGACATTATTATTTATCTCACATGATTTTATGTTAGATGTCAGAAATTACAGCAATATATTCATGAATACCTTATTAGTACATTCAACAAATAGAATTAATTGAATTAATTGAAACCAAAATTCTAAAAACAGCCTTAATTTTAATCTAAACTGCCTCTAGATTGACTGAGGTACAATTTCTCCCTCTTAGCAGGCACTGGTTTACTTTTTTTTCTTTTCTTTCTTTTCTTTTTTTTTTTTTTTTTCTTTCTTTTCTTTTTTTTTTTTTTTTTCTTTCTTTTCTTTTTTTTTTTTTTTTTCTTTCTTTTCTTTTTTTTTTTTTTTTTCTTTCTTTTCTTTTTTTTTTTTTTTTTCTTTCTTTTCTTTTTTTTTTTTTTTTTCTTTCTTTTCTTTTTTTTTTTTTTTTTCTTTCTTTTCTTTTTTTTTTTTTTTTTCTTTCTTTTCTTTTTTTTTTTTTTTTTCTTTCTTTTCTTTTTTTTTTTTTTTTTCTTTCTTTTCTTTTTTTTTTTTTTTTTCTTTCTTTTCTTTTTTTTTTTGTGTGTGACCGGTAAGGGGATCATAACCCCTGGGTTGGTGTTGCTCGCACCGCGCTCAGCCAGTGAGTGCACCAGCCGTCCCTATATAGGATCCGAACCCGTGGCCTCGGCGCTGCCAGCGCTGCTGCGCTCCCAGCGCCGCACTCTCCCGAGTGATCCACGGGGTCGGCCCAGGCACTGGTTTACTGTTACAGCAATAATGGTGCAGGGAATGTACAAATGAGCACAATCAGTGTGGTCTTCAGGTAAAAACAACATTAAAGAGGTTTTTAAAGTTAAGGATGGGGATCTTATTAAGTTTTTTACTTCCATCTGATATTAAAGATTGAATGAAGAAGATTCTTAGTTAATGTTTGAGTTCTTTCTGGCTGCACCATACTGTTCCAGGTACTGTATTGATTAAGGCTGTGTGGCGTTATAGGTAACATGTAGATTAGTCCGTCAAACTCTTGCAGGCCTTCAGTGGTGTAGCAATATCCTTTCAATTACTAAATGTTTATGTTTTCTGGTCTTACTTACTAAGTGTACTTCCCCCACTACACTGTCTCCCTTGACAGTCTTTACCCGTACACTAGGCTCACTTTTGAACTTCAGATTCATATTTACATGTGGCCTATTGTTTATGTCTAGGAGCCCAGACGAGCCACAGGCAATTAGATTTAAGACCCAAATTGAACCCAACATTCCTTATCCACCCCCTATTCCTACCCCACCCAAATCTGTAAGCTCTCCCAGTATTCCCTATTTCACTTACAATGATACCACCATTCACTCAGGCAAGCTGGAATCTCCCAGTCATCCTAAATTTCTCCGAGTCCTGTGGATTTTTTTTACTTGGTACATCTCCAATGAATATGGCTATTACAGCCACTGCCTGAGGTCAGGCTGTCATCTTCTCTCTGGGTTAATATGCCACGAGAGCAACCAAACTAGTCTCCCTGCCTCTCATCAATACTCTATACTCCCAATGGAATGGTTTTTATGAAACAGGGGTCTAATTATACCTCTTTCCTGCTCAGAAATCTTTAGTGTTTCCCGTCGTGTGTGAGAGAAAGTCCAAATTCCTTAGCAGGGCAGCAGATCCCTTCATAGCCTATCACCCATCTCCTTTTACTAGATTCATCCCCGAACATTATGTTCCCTCTTCTGTACCCTTCTTACACTGTTTGTGGCTCACCCACTGAGCCATGACGCTTCTATGCCTTTGCAGTTGGTGCTTCTATTTGGAATGGCTATCCCTAACCTTTTCTTTCTGGTGATGTCTTTCAAAGGCCATATTTAATGGCATATTTACTCCGAAGCCTTTTACTGTAAGCAGAGATAGTTGAGTTTGTCTTTTCTGATTTTATAGAATTTGCATATATACATATATATTTTTATTACAATCCTTGTTATATTGATGTAATTGTTTCTGTAGTTGACTTACCTTTAAGACTGATTTAGACTGTATCTTTTTAACCTTTGTATATTCATTACCTAGTGTAGTGCTTGTCACTTAATAAATTATTTGAATGAGTTAACAATGGCATATATGATGGACATACATTAATATCTGGCATTTGGTATAAATTAATTAAATTCTTCTTTCCCAAAGTGAGAAAAATGTTTGTAATTCATATCATAAGCAAAGGGCTAAACTCCCTAATAAATAGCTTCTAGAACTTGATTTTTATGAAGAGACTAAAAGCACACTGGGAAGATGGGCAAAGGATAAAAGCAAATATAAATTATTATTATTATTATTTTTCCTTTTTGTCTTTTTTCGTGACCGGAAACGGATCGCAACCCTCAGTGTTGCGCCCGTACCGGACCAGGACCGGCCACGGGATCGCAACCCTCAGTGTTGCACCCGCACCTTGCTCAGCCAGTGAGCGGCTGGTCCGTATGTGGGATCCGAACCTTCTGTACAGTTCTATTTTTCATTTGTCAGTTTATTACTACATGTAAAATTACATAAATTATTGTCATACAAATGAACTATAATACTGTTTACAGTGTTTATTTATTCCACTTAACATGACTATTCATACATTTTTCTAAACAAATATTAATGTATTTAGAATCTACCTAAATATCTACATGTGTGTTAAATAAACAGCAGTGAAGTCACACAAAGGAACACTGGTCCATAGTCCCTTAGCCTCAAATTCAAAGTCTGGAAAGCTCTGAAAATCAAAAGTTTGGTTTTTTATTTTGTTTTTAAGTTCAGCACTCAAACTCATTTGATGACAAATCCTGACTCCAGCTGACTGAGGCACCCATTGTGTCTTGGAGCACCTACCAGGTATTCTTGCCTGTTTGCTGGTACTGTTTTGCTTTTTTGTCATTTCATTACTTTGGGTTTAATTGCATGTGAAAATATCAAAAATAGTTTAAGATAGTCTAATGGGTAATAGGATGAAGGGAAACATCTGTCATTAGTAATAGCACA